CACTTTATAGGGAGCTCTGTTGGCATAAAAGGCAAGGCATTTGGCTGCTAACCAGAAGGTTAGTGGTTCAAACCCTCCAGTTCCGAGAGAGGAAGATGAGGCAATCTACTTCGGTAAAGATTTACAGCCTTGGAAACCCACCAGGGGTCATTGTGTGTTGGAACTGACTGGATGGCAGTGGGTTTGGTTTAGGAGCTCTGGTAGCTTAGTGTCTAGGGCACTTGACTGTTAACCAGAAGGCTGGCAGTTCAAACCCACCAGCCACCCCTCGGAAGGAAGATGGGCCAATCTACTTCTGTAGTGATAACTGCCTCAGAAACCCAAGGAGGGGTTGCTATGAGTCGGATCCGACTCAACAGCACATAACAACAACAACAACAACATGGGACCAAATGTCAACAATTGCTTTAAAACAATTATGAGAATGTAAGGAGGCAAGGAAACTAGATTAATGGAAATAATGAGAACATTCATGGATCGTGACGAATATAACAATTGTCACTGAACAATTTGTATAGAAATTTTTTAATGGGATCTTAAACTGCTATGTAAATCTTCATTGAAAACACAGTATTTTTTTAAATGGTGAAAATAGCTACTGTTATGTATGTATATATACAGTAATACCACAATTTAAAGGATTATTATTATCATTACACTAATAAACCAAGGAAATCCTCTCCAGTCCTCACTCAAGATCCTCTTCTTAGGAATGGTTCTAAGGCTCAGTTTACTGACCACTACTCACTCACTGCCATCGAGTCGGTTTCAACTCATAGTGACCCCTCCTTGGGTTTCTGAGGTGGTATCTCTATGGAAATAGATCGCCCAGTCTTCCTTCTGAGGAGTGGCTGGTGGGTATGAACCACCAGCCTTCTGGTTAGCAGTCAAATGCCCTAGGCATTACACTACCAGAGCCCACTGCAAACTTGGAACAACAGAAAGAAAAGGGCAAAGAGGCCAACTAAAGGAAGGATGCAGACTAGAAAGTGAAGGGACCACAGGCAGCGCAATACTACTCTTAAAAACAAACAAAAGAACACAAAAGACACAGCGTCTTCAGCAGTCAGCGTAGGGACAATGGTCATGCATTCCCACAACAGTCCAGAGAGCATGTTGGTGCCATAAAACCTTCTAGTGACCAATACTGATGACAATTCTAAGTGCTCACCATGATCCAACTGCCCAAGGAAAACAGCACAGATATCTGCATAGTTTTCACCACAAGAAGATGCAAAATAACTGTGTTAATAAAAGTTGGAAACAAAATGGAAACGGGAAACACAGAGAGGAAGTGGGAAAAGTGATTGTGGGGAGTGCAATCAATGTCACAAAACAAAATGTGTATAAATTGTTGAATGGAAAACCAATTTGCTCTGTAAACTTTCACTCAAGTCACAATAAAAAGTTAAATTAAAAAGGTTGGAAACAGCTTAAATGTCTAACAATAGGGATTGTAAACTATAATACATTCATTCAACAGAATTCCATGACACTTTAAAAACACTGTAGAAGGTGATCTAATGGCACTGAGAGAGAATGACAGTGTTCTGTTGATTAAAAAAGGATATGCCAATCAATATGTACTCTATGGGCATGTTTTGTAAAAGAAAACAAACACATATACAGACAAACACCAGAAGGATATGCCCCAAAATGTTTATGTTGTTT